TATAAAGTTATGATCAGATTTTAATATCTTCTATAGTATGCAAATTAACACAAAACTGTACCTTTGGTAAAATTTGGGAAAAGAAAGTCTGTTCCAGTGTCAGGTGATTCATATGAGGCAAAAAATTATCAGTAATGATTTTCAAAATTCCTATAAAGCAAAATAACATATTTTGAAAAATATCTTAACATGTCAGTCAGTATGTAACTGTCCTTTTTCAAATATGAAAACATGTATATTATGTCAACCCAAAATTGCAAGTCTCAAATACCATAATATATAGAGAAAATTAAGTATTTCACTGTAAAAAGTATAATACAAAAAAAAAAAGGGGGAAGAAAGAAAACAAAAAGTCATTACAACCAGCAACTGAAGACAAGCTAAATAAGTTAAATGGGTATGAATACCTCTTCTCAACAGGATTCACTACCATTAAAATACATTTTTAAAAAAATGTTTTCAAAATGGCAAATATTCAAAATTTAACAATTATATAAACAGACAAATATGACTTATATAGCAGGGCTGACAGAAATGTAAGGATTGAGATGACACAGTTCCCATCATAATCTCTTCTCTAAAAGGGATTCTGTCTGTGTACATGTTTGTATGTTTAAGTTCATGCACACAAATGTCATAGTATGCATGGATATCAGAAAACAGATTTCTTATAAGAAATCATGAAAACAGATGGAGATAAGAGTAAAAATTTTTCAAATGACAAATCTGTCATCATCTAGACAATGAGCTTTTCCTAACTCTGAGTCTTTTCTAAATGACACTAAATATGTTAAAAGGCTGAAGGTTCTAACAGACTGAACTGGTGTTTTCTTGATCCTATCACAGCATAAGATTTCAATGTGCTTATACATCATCAAAAATGGAATTCAAAACTTAAAAACACTATGACTGGAAGGAATTGGCTCATTTTATGTAACAGGAAATTACCAAAGCTACAATAAAGATTAACGTTGATGGTAACATAAATCTGCAAAGTCATCTATTGACATACACAACATCAAATACACAAAACAACTTTACTTACGTATATGTTCAATCCATCTCTCAGAATGCTGATACATAGAGTAAATATAAAGTAATTAAGGAATAAATTCACAAGGGACCCTTAAAATTTACCAATACTCCCTAAAAGACTGAAATTATACACAAAGCCCTTATTTCTTTGACCTCTGAAAATTTAACATTTATCAGATGAACAAAGGTTTTGTGAAAATGTTAAGAAAGGAATTCAATATTACTTAGGGCTAAGTAACTTTATACTAAGTCATGAGATACTTAGGATTGGTGGAAGATAATCCAAGTTCCAGGCTCTATGACAGGAAAGACACTCTCCTTAGCACTTCTACCCTTTGTCTCTGGCTTAACCACATGTTACTTACGTGTCTATCACACCAATCTTACCAGACTCAAAATCTTTTGTAGCAGGATCTTGCTAATTGTTGCAACTAAATTATGATATGAGGGTTAACAATAAACACAGTATAAACTATACTTTTACATCACTTAGAATTATTAGAAATATTTTATTGTAAAAGCAGAAAGAACCCTTGTACAATGTCAGGAAGTTACCTGTAACTATCATAAAAACCTCTCTTCTGAACTTTTACTTTGCATATTTTATAACTGCAATCAAAATGAGCTAACCCAAAAATTTTTAGTGCTGGAGAGTAAAATCTGCCAACTGGAACAATTCCAGTTTAAATTCAGAAAGCTTGCTACTTCGCAATTAATTTATGAGTACACAAATATTTAGATAATGACTGGACAATAAATAAAGTAAAAAATAAGAAGTTAATTTTGGTAGGTGATAGATTATGATATATTGCACTTTTCTTCCATTTGTTCTACAGAATGAAAGTAAAATACTAAATATTACAAACCTACTTGCAGTATCTAGTCACTTTTATTGAACACATATGTGCCAGTCACTTTCTCAGTGGTGAGGATAAAATAGTGAACAAAATCAAATGCCTGCCTCTATACTAGACAATACAGATAGGGGGAAAAAATGGGGAAGGAGCAAATAAGGATCAAATGGTCTCCAGAAAACCATAAACGCCATAAATGTAACAGGATGGTGTGTTGGCTAGTTTTATGTCAAACTGACACAAGCTAGAGTCATTGGAAGGGACTCTAGACTGAGAAAATGCCTCTGTAAGATTTGCCTGGAGGCTAGTCTGTAGTGTAACCCCCTTTATTGAAAACAGATTCTTTTCTCATACAAGGTATCCTGATTAGTTTCTCCTCCCTCTACTCCTCCCAGTTCCTCCTTAGCTCTCCTCCCATCAGGAACCATTCCCTTTCGGGAACAGGCTTCTAAGAGATAACAAAACTTAACAAAATAAATTATAAGATAAAACAAAAATTATCACATCAAAGTTGGACAAGACAAACAACAGGAGAAAGTACAAAGATGAGACCCATTTATGCACAAAGATACTGAGTTGAAAGTTACACACACACACACACAGAAAGAGAGAGAACCTGGTGCAGACCCATGCAGGCCCTGTGCTTGTTGCTTCAGTCTGGGAGCTCAAATGAGCTTCAATCAATTGATTTGTAGTACATTTTCTTAATTGATGATTGAGACCAGCTCACTTTGGCCAGTACCACTCCTCTGGGCTGGTGGTCTTGAGTGCTCTAAGAAAGCAGACTAAACAAGCCACAAGGAGCAGGCTAGTAAGCAACCAACCCTCTTCCCTGCTCTGCTTGTGTTCCTGTCTTGACTTCCTCTGATGATGGACTGTGATATGAAGCTTCAAGCTGAAGTGAAGTGAACGCTTTTATCAACCAAGATGATTTTGGTCATGGTGTTTTACCACAGCAATCGAAATCCTAAAACAGGTTTCAGGGAGCTACCTGAGATTGAGGGCTGTGAAATGGCTCCTCTAAGGAAGTAACGCTGAAGAAGACTAGAATGAGATGTTGAAAAGGCTGGAAAACAAATTAGGCTGAGAACAAATATTCTGAAGAAGGTCAACTTGGGTTGTAGCTAGCTAGGTATAAAGGAAGGGACAGGCTCAAATTATGGGCAATGTTGAAGACAAGTTCAGACTGTATTCTTAAAATTAAGACGCATAGGCAGGGCAGTGGTGGCACACGCCTTTAATGCCTTTAATCCCAGCACTCGGGAGGTAAAGGCAGAAATCTCTGAGTTCACGACCAGCCTTAACCAAACAAAACAAAACAAAAAATTAAATCACATAGGTACAGTTTACGGTGAAGGAGAAATAAAGTGAGCTGCTTTCCACACTAAACTTTTTAAGAATAGATTATAGAAGAATTATGTAGAAACAAGGAAAGTATTACTAGCCCAGATTATAAAGACTGGACTCACAGTGACAGCAAGGGAGGCAGGAGGATTCAAGAAGTAATTTAGAATTAGAAACCACAATATGCTGGTTACAAATGAGTATCCAAGGTTTACTTACAGAAGAAAACCTGGAAGTGAGATCTGAGTTCTCAGTAGGCAGCAAGAAAAGGTAGAAATGGTGTTCTGAACTTAGTGAGGGCTCCTGTAGAATTGGGGGGGGGGGGGGGGGCAGACTGTATTTCCATTCCCTCTAAGCCTAGCATTATAGCAAGCACACATTACATAAATAAACATAGTAAAACAGCTGTTTCCTGGAGGAAATTCCACAAAGACAGCCTTCCAGGCTGGCACACATATAATTCAAGCATGGCAGACGCAGGCTCACAGCAAACTCAAAACTAGCCTGCTGTGTGTAGCTGGTAGCAAACCAGTCAGGGCTACACAGCAAGACTTTATCTAGAAGACAAAATAACTCGGTATTCACACAAGGAGTATAAAAAAACGGTCCTTAGTGCCATTTAAGGAATGACTTTAACGTGCTAGAAATACTTGTTATATTGTGAAACATTCGTGCAGGTTTGCACTCTTTGAGAAAGTGATGGTCGTTTGGTTTTGGAGGTGTGTGTGTGTAATGCTATATAGAAGGTAGAATCGAAGATATAATACTAAGATCAACTTTTAACATGAAGGGGATCGACTTCCTGTTACAATTACATACACAACACATGACACTAATTATCATTCCACCGACAGCGCGCAATTCCAATGCATTTAAAGCCAAAACCTGCAGCGACACTTTCTAGCTAAAAAGGAAACTGAGGATCGAAAGGGCAAAGTATATTTTGCTTACAGAACATCCTTTAAAGATGTGGTCCTACGGAATAACTACAACTACGTCCTACAATTCTCACACTCTGGTTCCTGGGGGCCAGGCTTGGCACCTCTCACCCTCGGCAGCAAGTCTACGGGGAAACTAAGGAACAGAGGAACAAACTAAGGCGTGAGAACGCCAGTCATCTCCAACAGTTCCAGTGGCAATCGTCCGACAACGCCAGGCGGGTCTAGGCCCTGCACCCACCGCTGTCCTCGCTCCCTCCACCGCCACCTCCTCGTAAACGCCTAGGGTTCGAGCCCAGCCACAGGCCGCCCGCTCCCGCGCGGCATTAGGCTCGCGGCCCGCCCCTCAGCGTCCTCCAAGGATATGAGGAGCCGGGGTAGCACCGAAGGCAGTTCCCGGCGGCACACCTCCCGGGACCAAGTGTTGAGATTGTCCAGCATGGCCCGGTTCGCCTCCGCCTCGTCGTCCTGAGACATTCTTGCACCGTCAGCCACGAACGGATGCGTGCAATTCCCGCCACAGATTGGAACGGAGGTCACGCTGTTCCGGCAGCCCTTGAGAGCGCTCCGCCCACACACAACCATAGAGAGGCGGCCCCTCGCCCCCACGCGCCTAGAGTCTCCTCTAGCCATCGGAGGACTCATCTCGCTGGTGTGCACGGTGTGCGAACAGCGAGCTCCGCCACGGGTTCCGGACACCCGGGAACCTCATTCACTCTGACTTCTGTCATTCGAGTGCTGAGACCAGAAGTCCTAAGGTTTGTTACTTTCGGTGCCGGAGGCTCTGAGACTGCGCATAGGGTCAAGGGTGAGCGGGACCTGTATCCGGAAATGACTCTCAGCCCCACAGTGCAGGGGATTGGAAAGCAGGAAAATAGTGGTGCGAGTTCTCCACGCACACACCGTACAGCTCCTGCCAAGTGAACCTTCCACCTCCCAGAAGTGTGCAGATTAAAACGGGTGTTATCCAAAGTCTGCTACGTAGCTAAAAATGTTTCTATACACTCGATTTTACTTCTACAGTGCTGGTCTTCATTCATTCCGCCGTTTCGAATCTTGATTAAATATGCCGTTTGGATGAATTTATAAACTCCACATTACACCTGTACGTGTTTGAAAAATGGATGTCTTTCTTACCTAAATAAGACCTTAAACTGTTGTGGAGGCAGATTAACAGTAGAGATGAAGATGTGGCGGAAAGTAGGGGGCATACGACAGCTAAAACACCCCGAGTAGCTAGTCTGTCCTGTATAAAAATCTTGGGCTTTGTATTTTGTTCTGGTAAAAGTGGTTGCTGTTATAGCTGTTCTTTTGTTTGTTTTTATATTTTATCTTCTATTTATGAATACTTAACGGCATCTGTAATTTCCTAAATCCCCCCCTACACGCACAGCTTTTTTTAAATAATCATTTTCTTCCTTTCTTTCTGTTTTTCTTTCTTTCCTCCCTCCCTCCCTCTCTCTCTCTTTCTTCCCCATTTCCAGGACTGAATTGAAAGAGAAACAAAGGCCCCTGAAAAATCTTTGGAAGCCTCTATAAATATATCCAGTGGATAAACAGCTAACGGACATTGATCCCAACAGAACTAATTGACTGTGTCAAGCCATTAAATTCCGTCCGGAAGTTGAAGCATCATCCTTTGATAAAGCGAGTGTGCATATAATAAGAGGATGGCCTTTCAATTCAACTTTAGTATAGAAGAGGATGTAGAAAATAAATTAACACCCCTTGGAGATGGAACTTTGACCCTGGATTCATCAAAAGAACCACCGGTCTCAAAAAGTCAAAATGGAAAGCAGGACAGAAAATGTTCTGCAGAACCATCAAACATGCTTCCCGATGGCTTCTGGGAATCCTCAATGGGAAATGCAGCTTCCTCTGAAGACACCGACAATGCAGCTGATCGGTCAGGTGACCGGGAAGCGTGTGAAAAACAGCCCTTCTTGAGAGTTGCTAAAGAACATGTTATGCCTAAAGATTTAAATAAAGTTTTAGAAAATACGGTTACGGAAATGTTGCCTGGTCCCCATGTCAACATAGCAGTAGTGAAAACTGTCTTGTTGAAAGAGAAATTCCCTGGAGAAAACATAGTTTCAAGAAGCTTTTCTTCTCATTCTGATCTGATTCCAGGTGTCTATGAAGGAGGCTTGAAAATCTGGGAGTGTACCTTTGACCTCTTGACTTACTTCTCAAAGGCCAAAGTGAGATTTGCTGGGCAAAAAGTGTTGGATCTTGGGTGTGGATCAGGATTGCTTGGAATAACTGCGTCCAAAGGAGGAGCTATCGAAGTTCATTTTCAAGATTATAACAGCCTGGTGATCGATGAAGTGACCTTACCTAACGTAGTGGCTAACTTCCCTTTGCAAGATGAGGGCGGTGATGTCAATGAGCCAGAAGGGAAAAGACAAAGAAAGTTAAAAGCAGCCCGAGAAACATGTAAATGTCGCTTTTTCTCTGGGGAGTGGTCTGAGTTCTGTAAGCTTGTATTAAGTGAAAAACTCTTTGCAAAATATGACCTCATTCTCACCTCAGAAACCATTTATAATCCAGATTATTACAGCACTTTGCATGAAACGTTCCTCAGACTGTTGAGTAGGAATGGCCGGGTGCTTCTGGCCAGCAAAGCACATTATTTTGGTGTTGGTGGTGGCGTTCATCTCTTTCAGAAGTTTGTAGAAGAAAGGAATGTATTTGAAACTAAAACACTTGAAATAATTGATGAGGGTCTCAAGAGGTTCCTACTTGAAATTACTTTTAAGTATCCCAGTTAATATATAGTTGTCTAAAGGAATAAACAGAGTAACCCAGAACTTGTGACTGTTTAATCTCTTTTTATTATTTTTTTCTGAAATTATGGTGTTTGTGTGGTTCTGCTTATTAAAATAGTAAGCCATGTATAGTAACAGCCTTGTGTTTCCTATGTAAAACTGTAAGTTTACCTGAGCATTTGATAAGCTCTTAAATCACTTTATAAGAAAAGTCTTGCTCCATCTTCATTCTATTTGATCTTTCTACAGTCTCTAACACTCCATAAACATGTTCTCGGGGAGTATTCCCATTTATTACCAAGTCTATGAATCTCACTACAGTCTTTGTTAGTTCCTCATTCACATGAAGTGCCTGGCTAGATTATTAAGGACAACTGCATTCCTGAGTAATACTGAATTTAAGTGTTTGGTTGAAGGCTTTTGTAACTAGAAAGACTTTTTTATCGATTTCCATTGTATAAAAGCATTAGCATGCTGTGCAGTTGAATCTACACTAAAATGAACTTACAAGCACCTGATAGAAAATGTGAAAGTTCCTGGGGATATGGTGTGGGACCATGGTCTATATTCTGTCAGTTATATTTTAAATAAACACTGATTGGCCAGTAGCCAGGCAGGAAGTATAGGCAGACAACAAGACAGGAAGTTGAGGTGGGTCAAGGAGAACAGGAGAATTCTGGAAAGAGGAAAGCCCATTCCTTGCAGTCCCAGTGCAGACACAGAAGAAGCAAGATGTGACCTACTCCACTGAAAAAGGTACCGAGCCATGTGGCTAACATAGATAAGAATAATGGGCTAATTTAAGTTATAAGAGTTAATAAGCCTGAGCTAATGGGTCAATCAGTTTATAACTAATGTAGGCCTCTGTGTGATTTCTTTGGGACTTAACAACTATGGGAGCCAGGCAGGACAGAAAACTCAGACAACAAGGATGTAGCTTGGTGGTAGAGTGCTTGCTAGGATGCACAGGACCCTAGGTTCCATCCACAGAACCTCAACATCCACAACAAAAATATGTGGGTGGTAATAAAGGAACAGTACTCAAAGTTAACTCTCACCCCTGTAAACTAGTATGAGACCCTGAGACCTTGGAGGAAGACAAATAGGGAAGAAGAACTTCAGGTTCTGGGCTGTAAGCACCTCAAGAAAAGGAGGATGGAAACATTGTACAGCTTTGGTTGAGCCTGGAACAAAAATTTTCATATCACTTCTAAAGTTGAGATCTGCCATGTGATATAAACCTTTTCTTCCTTGGAAGAATCCTACATCATGCTATATCTTGGATTCAATGTGCTATTTATTGGAGCCCTGACAACTAGGTACTATAGTATATACTGTTGTATAGTATTTTACTTAGTAATTATAATCTTGTATGTCATCACAGTTTAGTAATGATTAGTCATTTTCAGTTATGAAAGCTAACAGTTTGCAGCATTTATATGTGCATAGCTGATAAGAGTTATATAATACTATTATTTAATACTTATTACACCAGCAGATTAGGTTATAATAACTACCCGTGCTTTATAGTAAAGTTGAGGCTCAAAAAGTTTATTTGTCCTAATCACATGTTTTTACCTTAAATCATAATGTTTTATTTTATGTGTGTGTGGGAGAGGTGGCCTTGCTATATAGTAGACAGTCAATCAATTGACTATGTAGCACAGGCTGACCTTGAACTCACAGCAAAATCCTGTCTTAGCCTACTGGTGTTGAGTTTATAGGTAAGGGCCATCATGCCCTTTGCTTGAGTCAGAATCTTAAGTCCTTTAAACATTTTTCAATTTTCAGCACCTAGATGTCTCAACATATTAGTCAGTGTCTGTTTTGGTCATAAATCTTGATCCTCCTATTCAGGAGTGATGGTTAACTGTACATTCCCACAAATTCCATATATGCATTGAAAAGTTTCTGCACCCCGTAAGCCTCTCTGCCGATGCAATAATCCAAATCAGACCAAAGCAAACCAAATTAGAAAAAGCCCAGGTTTAATAAATACCACTGCTCTCAGGTGGCTTTCCAGCTCCCCAGAGAGGAAACAGGAAAGGAAGACCAGAAAACCACATGTTCTCTGGAGTACAATTTAAATGCCCTGAGGTAATGGTCTTGAGCATCTCTGGCGAGAGGTCATTGTTTGGCAGGCTTTCTTGGAGGTGGGCTCTGGACCGAGGCAACTCCCAGGGGAAGGGGCTTGGGATGGAACTTTCCCCCAAACATTCCAGATTCTTTGGATCTGTGGTTGCTGTGCTGTGGTCTTAACCCAAATGCATATGTGTGTATCCCTCTGTCTATGCAACTCTGTATGTTTCCTAATGTATATGAAGAAAGTAAATCAAATACTTTGACTCTCATCAGATAAATCCACAGGGGTAGCAACACAGAAGACATGTAGTGTGCCAGATGCTTAAACAGACATACTGTCAAAATTGCCACAGCTAACAATTCCAGATATACACACACGTACACACACACATACGCACTCACACATACTAGATAACAGAACAAAGACACCCGCCCAGCTGAACTGGCTAATTGAGGAGTTACAAAGCATTAATACTTTGGTAATCAGCATGATAATTAGTATTAAAGTTTTTTTAATTTATTATGTATACAATATTCTCTATGTGTGTATGCCTGCAGGCCAGAAGAGGGCACCAGACATCATTACAGATGGTTGTGAGCCACCATGTGGTTGCTGGGAATTGAACTCAGGACCTTTGGAAGAGCAGGCAATGCTCTTAACCACTGCGCCATCTCTCCAGCCCTAGTATTAAAGTCTTTGAGACAAATCAGTACCTCAATTATCCAGGTAAATTAAACTCTTGATGAGAGGGTCTTCCTTAAGGTCTTTCTGGAAGCAAAAGATGCTCAAGACATAATTTCAGCTCTTAGGGAAAAGACGAAAAGAAGTAGATGATAACAAAAATGAGATTTAGTACTGGGAACTACATAAATACAATCATTAAAGATTATTCTGAGGTAACAGCCCGAAGGAGACAGATTTGCCCAAGAGAACTGGCTACAAAAGAGATTTGAGATAAAAATGTTGTTTACAAATCCAGTCCAAGAGAATGATGCCTAGAAAGATTTATAGAATAGTTTAATCATATAAGTAGACATGTGTGGAGGGCCGCAACCACATTCTCCATTGCTTCAAGGGACAAAGGTAGAGATTGACCTCTGTGACCTCAAGGTGTGGTGGTACACGCCTTTAGTCCTGATGCCTGGGAGGCAGAGGCAGATTGACCTCTGTGACCTCAAGGTGTGGTAGTACATGCCTTTGGTACCAATGCCTGGGAGGCAGAGACAGGCAGATCTCTGTGAGTTCAAGGTATTGTAACACACGCCTTTAATCCCAGCGCACGTGCTTGGTAACTCTCTACTGCTGCGTCCCTGCCTACTTCCGAGGCATCACCTGGGATAATGGGCAGCGGACCAATCCAAGAGTGACAGGTCAGAAGCGAGGACTGTTTCCTTTATAAGTGCTGGGTTCCCCTCATTCTGGGTCTCCGCCATGTAAGCTTATGCTCTCCCTCTCAAGATGCATTAAAGCTTTGCTGTAGAAGGATCCTAAGTGCCCCGCGTCGTTCTTGCGGGCAAGACGGTAGTGTGGGACAGACATGCATGTTCAGACATTGATATCAATTTCCCATAGCACATGAGAGCTCACTAATATGTACAATCAGTGGGTGTTAATTGAAACATATCAAAACAACTAAAGTCACATTTCCATATCTGTAAAACAGGGCTTGTGATAGTAGCTCCATAATTCTTTGAAGAATATGTAAATGTTGGGTATCTTGGGACAATTAGACTTCCTGTGTATGAGTAAAAACACTCCTTAAGAATTGGGTGTTTTTTTTACGTTTTTATTGTTTACATTGTGTGTGTGTGTGTGTGTGTGTGTGTGTGTGTGTGTGTCACACATGAATGCAGTCCCCATGGGGTGGAAGTTCAAAAGAAGACATGAGATACCCTGGAGCTGGAATTACAAGCAGTTATGAACTGCCCTCCAGGGGACTGGGGATCAAACTCAGGCTGTCTGCAAGAGCAGCAAGCACTCTTCCCTGCTGAGAAGTCTCTTCTGCCCCCTCTCTCTGAAACTTCTTATAATGTTTAGCCCGCCATGCTTTCCCAGTTGGATAGGAAATCCTGCTCACTCTGCATGTGCTTAGGGTTATAACTCTTAGTCCAGGGTTTGGGGGGGGACATCTAAACTCTAGAATAAAAACAGCCTGCTGTCCGTCTCCATCCTCTGGATGTAGGTTTTGTGATGACAATTAGGGTAGTCACTATTCTGATTATAGGGCAAGGCAAGCATCCTCTCCACTATGACTAGAAGTCTTAGTTGACTTCATCCTTGTGGGTTCCTGGGAATTTCCCTAGTACCTGGTTTCTCCCTATTCCCATGAAGGCTCCTTCTCTCAAGAAATCTCTTTCATTGCTCCCACTCTCTGTCCCTCTCCCAACTCAGTGTGGAGGCCCAAAAAATGAGAGTCTATTTCCACCTTGTCTGAAGGTCAGAGAGTATCACCTTGTTTGAAGTTGTTGACAACAAGTAGTGGCGCACGCCTATAATCCCAGCACTGGAAGGCAGCTGCAGGCAGATCTCTGTGAGTTCAAGGCCAGCCTGGTCTACAAGAGCTAGTTCCAGGACAGGCCCCAAAGCTACAGAGAAACCTTGTCTCAAAAAAAAACCTTAAAAAAAAAAAAAAAGCTATACACCTTGACCTAAAGTATGATTGCTTTGTATTTTGGACTTTAAGATGGTCCACACAGGTAGACCTACTCCACTCTGACCAGAGGTCAGGAAATTCAAGCATACTTTCTGTTCCTTCTTTTGAAATAGGAGGTTTGACCTTGGGAGTGCTTGCCTTCAGGGCACTTGGTCTAGGGTGGATTCACTGCCGAGACAACAGAAAGCTAATGACTTGACGTCTCAAATTATTGAAGCAAGAAACTGTTCTGGTTGTCCTTTGTGTGGGGGCCAGCCATGATAAGCTAAGTATGAGCAGGTCACCCAAAGGAAGTTCTTTACTTCC